AATGCAATGTTGACATAACCGGGCAATATGGTCATACTTCCTGGTTCTGGTATGAACTCTAGTGGCTGCGTTTTGAACCAGCTGAGGTTTGTTTATTAAGCGTGCAGGGCAACCACCCAGTAGAGCATTACAATGATCTAGCCTTGATGTAATGAACTAACTGTTCCACATTTTTCATTGAAAGCACATGACGTAATTTAGATTTTTTAGTTTTAAAGTTGGTAATTGCTAGTCATCCAGTTTTTATATCAGCAATGCATTAGGTTTTTTTGTATTGGCAAGTTTCGTCGGGGCGTGAAGAAATATAGAGCTGAGTATCATCAGCATAACAGTGAAAACTAATGCCATGCTTCCAAGTTCCTAATGATATCTCCCAAGGGGAGCATGTATAGAGTGAACAGCAACGGTCCTAGTACTGAGCCTTCTGCCTTGTGGTACACCATACTGAACTTGTGATCAATAAGACATCTCTAAGGGATCATCGTTATCAAACACATCCAAATCTTTGTTATCTCCATCAATTAACCCAAAGTAGCTCCAATGCTCTTTGCACAGAAAAACGCTCTGGAAATAAAAACATGATAAAATCAAATACAAATTAATTTAATTTATGTAGGTTTGCATTATTTATTTGTTATTTATTCCAATGGGATAATATACAAGCTAATTTACATGTGCACATTTTTACTAGCATATTACATTTTTACTAACATTTTCAACCCAACTAATTTAAGTATGTACGTATGTATTTAGTGATTTAATTGTTATTTATGTCATTGGGACCATGTGCACCTTTTTAGCTGCATCAGAGCTAGCTTTTTTCCCATTTTATGTGTGTGCATGTTTACTAGCATATTAGCTGTTTCGAGGAGCTTCAGTCCATAAGTACACATACGTGTACTTCATGTTTAGCGACCTACAAAGTTGGTAGTTTTGCACTTTTTTTTTCAAATTTGCATGTCATGACAAAGATACAAGGCTTTTATAAATATCTAAATCAGAATAAGCCATGAAATATGACAGAACTTCTTAACTGGTCGACGTTTGTGTATGGAGCTACCACTTGAATCTTTCCTTGTGTTTGCCGCCATTTTGAATTTTGACCATAGTGTGTTATAAATTTCTGACACTACCAGACGGCAGTATAAGTACCCCCATACGTGTCCATAACACCACCAATTCAGCAGTGAACACAATTGTGGACATAAGAGCAAAAATGTGCTGTCCACGTATGTGGCCACTAAGCCCTAGGAGGTTTAAGGTTAAGAGGATTGTTTCAGATCTTAGATGGGTGGGTTAGAGATTTGCGGGCAGTTTTTAAGAATGAAGTTTTCATTTTTGGACCAAAATATGTTGCATCAGACAGGTAAAAAATCTCGTTAATTAATTTTGTGCTTGGAGAAGCAAAGATGGCAATATGGGTAACATGGAAAAGGAACCTGAAAGGAGCGGGGGAGTAGGTCCTGAGGTGGTCTTAGGCTCTTATAGCAACCAGAATCAAGGCAGAGTTTGCATATTTTAAACTAATGAATAATATGGACAGATTTATTAAATTTGGGCTTTGAATGATGTTTTGTGCACAGTGGATTATGAAAATGAGTTGGTATGTTATTTATGAGTTTTTGTGACTTTTGTGAAGAAAAAAAAGTTTAAATGGGGATTGTAGATTTTACTCAATAATTTGTTACGTTTTATGAGTTTTTGAGTGGGTATATTTGTATTTATGTACATTTGAGAAAATAGATGTTTAAGAGGAATGTCTATACAGTGTAATTATAAATAAAGGTGTGTTAAAGGTCTCCCCCCCCCCTCCTCTCTCTCTCTCTCTCTCTCTCTCTCTCTCTCTCTCTCTCTCTCTCTCTCTCTCTCTCTCTCTCTCTCTCTCTCTCTCTCTCTCTCTCCCTCTCCCTCTCTCTCCCTCTCCCTCTCTCTCTCTCCCTCTCCCTCTCCCTCTCCCTCTCTCTCTCTCTCTCTCTCTCTCTCTCTCTCTCTCTCTCTCTCTCTCTCTCTCTCTCTCTCTCTCTCTCTCTCTCTCTCTCTCTCTCTCTCTCTCTCTCTCTCTCTCTGGTGATGATTGACAGGCTCAGAGGGCGTTCGGTTCTTCGGCATGTCTTCTGCTGTGTCGTCTGATGCTGTCGGACGCTTGACTGTGAGTTCAGCAGCTTCCTTCATTAGTCACTTCAGTGTTTGACTTCTGATCACAGTCTCTTCTGTACTTGTGTCCACTGAAGAACGGGAAACACTGCAGGAATGTTCTCTGCCTCCTCATTTTAGCACTGGACTCTTTGTTTCAGCTTGTGTGTGATTTGATCCTCCTGATGTTTTAGATATTGTGTCTCTTTCTCAGAGCTGCAGTCCCTATCTTCCTCATGAGTGTGACGGAAACTCGTATCTGAACGGCGTCTGCTACCAGTTCAACAGCAGATTACAGGCCGTCTCAAACTTCACCGCCGCTTACCAAGGTCTGACGAGTCTGACACAGAAACCAGCGGATAACGACACTTCTAGCACTGAATGCAGTTGAACTATTTCAGTCTTTAATACTGTAAACCATGTGTTGGGTTCTTACTAACATTCCAGTTGGTGTGATGATTATTGACAACTCAATTAAAGACAGGATTAAAGACATTATGTAAATACTTGTTTCCATATCTTGTGGTATTTCTGCAGAATGCACGAAGAGAGAAGTCAATCTGGTGTTTCTCTTTGACGGATCCAGCAGTATGAAACCACACGAGTTTAAATTGAACAAGGAATTCATTAAACATGTTATGAGCAAGCTTTCAAACTCATCCATAAAGGTAAATCAATCCACCACTATTAATGTGGAAATATTGAGATGTAATCGTCTATAGTTTGCTAATGATGTTAACGGTACGTGTGCTTGTTGTTTGTCCTTCTGTGTGTCAGTTTGCTGCCGTCCAGTTTTCAACTACATTCACAACTGTGTTTGACTTCAACGACTATCAGGACGGCTCCGCTGAACACAAACTCATGCAAGAGAAACGCATAAAAACTCTCACAAACACACACGGAGCAATCAACTATGTTTTGTGAGTGAAACCTTCTATGTTTATGAATGTTCACTGAATTTACACTTTAAAAGAAACAGTCTTGAAATGTACATAATTAAAAATCAAAGATGGCTCTTTTTTGTTTAACACACTGGAGTTGGACTTTTGTCATTGCATAAATTAGAAGTTAAAACAAATTGTAGAAAGAAAAGAGGCAGGTTGAGACTGTCATGATTCTGCCATAATGTCTTTTGATTTCTCTGGTCTTGTGGCAGAATCATGACAGATCCGTGTTTTGTGTACAAGCTCATGGCCTTTTGCTTGGGCCATGTGCTTGTGTTGTCTCGTTACGTAACCCCGCCCCCTTGTTATCCTCGTCTCGTCATTATTGTCTAGTCAGTTTCACCTGTTCTCGTCATTAGTGTCCCCTATTTAATCCCTGTGTATTTGCTGTCCTGTGCCGGTTCATTGTTTGATGTAGTGACCTACTTTGTGTCAATCAACCGTAAGTTACTTGTTGGAAGTCTGTTCAAAGAAGTGTTTGTTTGTTCCTGTCTTAGTTATTAGTCTGAATCTTAGTCTAGTCTATCCTGTCTTGGTTTGCCCCATCGTGGGTATTGTTTTCTGTTTTTGTCTTTAATAAATCCCGTTTGAGTTATCTGCTGTCTGCTATTGGGTTCATCCTGTAACATTATTAGATTAATGTAAAGGTTTCTTTGAGATGTTAACTTTTATGGTGTCATGAAACGTATTACATGGGTTATGGATAATGTTCATGTATGATGAATGATGCATGTCATGTATATGGTTCATTGTGTATTCCTGTTTAATATACTTAGGGTCTACTGTGTGTTTTGGTAATAATGGGGGATATCCCTTTAAGGTGGCGAATGGCCATGATTAGGGGGCAAGGTGCACCTACGTTTTTTTAATGGTGGTGAGGTGTGTTTGGAAAAAGAGCGTGCCAGTATTGTTGACTGCAGCGCTAAAGAGTTAAAGCTGGGGTTTCCATATGGTTTTGAGAGTTTTTTCAACCGATACGTCAAGAGATGGCTTTAATGGGTCAAAAAATATTTTAACCACCAGGACTATTTACTTGGGTGCGCGTTTCCAGCAAGAGGACGTGTTTGGACCAAAGTTTGATAACTGTGTGAGTTAACATTGCCCGAAGATCTGCAGAGTTGGTGAGATCTGACTCATTTCTTTTTTTGAGTGGAACAACACAGAGCCAACGCTCTATTTTTTCCCTTGTTGTGGATTACGTTTTTTTTTCGTCACGGAGCCAACAGAGGATTATTGCTCGCGAACTGACTGTATCTTGGTTGGAAAGACTGTTGCGCGATCTTGAGCCAGCCTAAAAATCTTTTCGGGTTAAGTTTATGGACTGGGACAGAAGAGTGGGGAAACTGTGGGGTTGCAAGCACGGGACAAATTTTCTTTCATAATATACGGCGCTCAGCGCGTCAAGCAAATGAACGGGTCGATAATGTGTGTGTGTTTTTTTTTTTTTTTGTGAATGATGTTCAGCGCCGTCTGAAGATTTGTTTTGGTGCGGTGTGTGTTATTAACTCCCATGCATTTGTGCTTGAGCATGGTTATCTGATAAAGAAAACATTAAGAATGTGTTACGATTGAAGTGTATGCTTTTTCTGATTATTGCTGTCATTCTAAAAATCCCCTTGTGCGTTTATAGTGACACATCTGTTGAAAACAAAGAGAATTAAAAGGCAGAGTGTTATAGATGGTGGCCCGTATGGGGAACAAAGAATGCATATTTTGGTGACTTTGCTTTGGGGTTACCATAGTAATGTGAAATACTTCAACTAACAAGCTCTACACTTATTCTGGACTGTTTTGGATTTCAGTTAAGCACTGTAAAAAAAAAAAGAAAAAAAAAAAAGACTGAAATAGGGTTGCACCTCTGGTGGACCTTGATGAATTCCCGGAGGAAATATCTGAGCATGGCACTAGGGCTTCTACACCTACATCAGGGCAGGGGCTTAGTGAACATTACCCTGAAATGATGGGAGATGCATGGGTCACTAGGAGAAATCCTGTGGGGGAGATAACATCACTGATCAGTTCACTTTACATAACAGACCAAGAAAAGAATGAACAAAGCATTGAAGATGAGGGAAACACATCTTATCTCACACTTCCTGCTCTCACGACCATCACCAATGATTTAGGGTCAGTCCTGGTCAGGTTAAATACACTTGAGACTGACTTCAGAGATTCGGTTGATAGCGCGTTGAACAGAGAAGTGGGCATACGAAGTTATGTTGATAGAAGTGTTGAGGCGCTTGAGCAAAGTATGATATCAACACTGCAACAGTTTGAGGGCAAATTAGTGGAGTGTTTAAAGAGACGAGATGAAATGTGGAAAGCGGAACATGAAAGGCTTAAACGAGCCAGCCTTGTTGCTCTCCCTGGGCCTCTGTCATGCCCAGGTGCTACTATTCATCCACCTCCGAGTCGTTCTACTCCTGCTCAAGTTCCCTCCAGTGTTTTCCCACAAACTGGAGCTCCTTTGAGTATGGGAGTACAGGGTATGAGCCCATCGGTCAGCAGAATCACTCCCCCCGTGCTCAACAACATGGCCACGCCAGGCCTGGCGGCTAGTTCTGACAGTACTGTTCAGTCCTTGAATCCTAATGCTCAAAATCACATTTCATGGCAACCAATTCCTAGTGGGGTAGGTGCCCAGCTTCAGACAACTTTTACTGAAGCATTTTCCCAGCCCCCTATACAGCCTTTTATATCAAGCGCCAGCCTTTCATCTCCTCTGGGTACGTCAGGTAGTCAAGACATCAGATCTCCTGTGGTTTATTCCAGGCCGGCTATTCAGATGGAGTTTCCTTCATTCAGTGGGTCCAGGGAAGTGGCCGATGTTCTTAACTTTGTTGATCGTTGCGAAACGTTTTTTGCAGTACGGCCATTGTCTGATGCAGAGCTGATAGGTGCCCTGTCTAACACTCTTAAAGGGCCAGTACATAGCGGGTGGATGGTGGCGAAAAACAAGGTGCATAACTGGTCAGAGTTTAAAAATGCCTTTAATGATGCTTTCCCCCCGCCGGATTATCTCACCGAGGTAGAAGAAAAACTCCGGGACATGGTACAGTTGCCGGATCAGTGTCTGAGGGATTTTGCTTACGATTATCGTGCTCTTTGTTTGCGGTGGAAGCCGGATATAACCGAGACCGAGTTGGTGCGCAAGATCCTTAATAACTGCAATCCTCGAATAGCTGGGTGCCTCCGGGGTACTGTCACTAATGTGGACCAGTTGGTTCAGACTGGCACCTTGGTGGAGAAAGACTGCACCTCGTCTAGAGAATACTGGGGAAAGGTGGACCAGCAAAAGGCCAAAGAGAAGGGTTTAAAGAAAATCCAGGATAAGGGCCCTTCTAAGGAGGCTAAGAAACATGCTGATGTGGTGACAGTAGTACCGTTGGGACGGAAGTCTCCAATGGAGCTCCTCTATGTCCCAGTAGGGGTGAGGGGAAAGCAGTGTTATGCTGTGTTCGACACTGGATGCACCTACTCACTTATGCGGGAGAGTCTCTGGCGGGAGCTGGCTCGCGAAGGGGAGCGATTGACGTCGACTGACAACCAAAGTTTTGCCTTGGCCGATGGGAAGACCTATGGTGCGGTGGGTAAAACACAGATGGTGTACATATGGCATGAGGTGATATGGTCGATGGAGATGTTCGTTATGGCTGACAACCACCTGGCTTTCCCTATCATCCTTGGTTTGGACTTCCTCAGAAAGACTTCTACCATCATTAATATGGGGGACCAGACCTATGGGGTGAAAGGACCCAGGGGCTATACTTTCCATTCTTTTTTGTCTCACCCGATGGAGCAGACATTGAAGCAGGGGGCTGAAGGTTGTTCCAATGCTAGCCTATATGTAGCTGTTCCTGACCGGGGGTCTTTGGATCCATTGCCGTCATCAGGAATGGTGTCTCCTGTTTTTCTAGACCACTCTTCCGAGGTCAGGGAACTATTCCAGGCCTGGCCAAGAGTATGCTCGGGGACCTTGGGTAAGACAAGGGTTGAAGAACATCGGATCTTCACCACTGACGAGGTGCCTGTCCGCTGCAGGGCATACAGGGTTTCACCCTTTAAGCGGCAGGTCATCGCTGACCATGTGGAACAGATGCTTAAGGATGGCATTATTGAGCCGTCACAGTCTGCCTGGGGTGCTCCGGTGGTCTTAGTTAAGAAGCCAGATGAGTCCATTCGATTTTGTGTGGATTTTAGGCGGCTTAATGAAAAAACCCATTCAGATGCTTACCCCATGCCTATCATCCATGAATTACTGGAGTCTATGCATGGTGCTGCATTCTTCAGCACTCTTGACCTGAAGTCTGGATATTGGCAGGTCGCCATGTCCGAAGATAGTAAGGCCAAGACGGCCGTGATAACGCCCATGGGCCTCTATCAGTTCCGGTTTTTGCCTTTTGGGCTCAGGAATGCCGGAGCCACATTCCAGCGATTGATGGAGAAAGTTCTAGGGGAGCTTAGAGGGAAATTCTGCTGTGTGTACATAGATGATGTTATAGTCTTTTCACCCACGCATGAACAACATCTTCGGGATCTGCACGCTGTCCTAGGGAAGCTCAATAAGGCTGGACTGACACTTAATCTCAAGAAGTGTGCCTTGTTTCGGCAGGAGCTGAGGTTCTTGGGCCACGTAGTCTCGGACAAGGGCGTGCAGGTGGATCCAGAAAAGACACAGGCAGTAATGGCGTATCCCCAGCCCACTAACATCAAGTCCCTCCAGCGGTTCTTGGGCCTTGTTGGGTGGTACCATAAATTTATCGACCATTTTGCTGACCTGGCTGCCCCCTTGAATCGTCTGAAGAGGAAAAACGTGGAGTGGGTCTGGTCAGAAGAATGTCAGCAGAGTTTTGACCAGTTGAAGAGAGCGCTGGTGGACGCACCTATCCTCATGCAACCTGATATGTCTATCCCATTTGAAATCCACACAGACGCCAGTGATGTGGGATTGGGGGCTGTGCTGGTGCAGAAAACAG